ATTTGGTCCTGTATTCCTCACAGTGGGGTCAGGGTTTGGTAACAAGCTTCTTGGAAACCCCTTATTTCTTTCTCCTTACCCGTTCCATATAGTCTTGGTGCATGCAGGTTCCCAAAGTATGGCACCATGATGACCCCTGCCAATCCTGGCAAATAGACACTAGGAACCTGTTACCAATAACCATAGCTTTTGAGGAGCATACTACCAAGAGCAATTTCCAGGACTTGGGGTTCAGCCTCATTTGTGGGTCATAAAATCAATAGGTTGTATCACACTAAAAATTACATAGACAGGATAAGATAGGATAGGGTAGGATAGGATAAGATAAGATACAATAAGATAGGATAGAGAAGAATAGGATAGAATAGGATAGGGTAGAGTAGGGTAGAATAGAATAAGATAGGGTAGGGCAGGCAGGATAAGGAAGAATAGGACAAGATTGGATGGTGCTGTGGTCTGAATGTTTGTGTTCCCTCAAATTCTAGGTTGAAACACTAACCCCCAACAGATGGTATTAGGAGGTGGGTCCTTTGGCGGTGATGAGATCTTGGGGAAGAGCATTAATTAATAGGATTAGTGCCCTCGTAAATTAATTCAGAGAGAGCTCCTTTCCCTCTTCCACCATGCAAGGTTACAGTGAGAAGAAACCTTTATCAACCAGGAAGCAGGCCCTCACCAGAAACCAAATCTGTTGGCGTCTTGACCTTGGACTTCCCAGCCTCCAAAACTGTGAGAAATAAATTTCTGTTGTTGGTAAACCACTTAGACTATAGTATGTTTGTTATAGCAGCTTGAATACACTACGACTATGAGAAGATAAAAGAGGATAGACCCATAATCTTTTTTAAAAATATGTTAAATAAGGTATTTAAATGCCCCTTTATCTGTAGGTACTGGTAGGGAATGCTGTCTGCATGATATGAACACTACAAGAGATAGGTCTGCAGCCTTCTCACTGCTCAGTCAATCCCTGACGAAAGGCTTCTGCAGAGCTCAGGCTCTAGGACTTCCATGCCCCATGAGAGGCACTGGACACTATATCCTTCCCCACTAGAGTGAGTTCTAGACTTTGCCAATTCCTTGGGGTGGCCTAACTGAAGGTAGAAGCAAGGAACAGTAGCATTTGCACCTTCAGACCTCTCAAGCCTCAGGCACATTGACCTAATCAGGAATCCAGTCCAGGAGATGGAGCTGCTAGGAGGATATTAGGGAGATGGCCTTTACCTGCTGTTCCAGATCTCAGTTTCCAAGGAGCAAAACAGTCTGATGCTATAGAAAGAGGAGGGATGTGATATCCAAGGACCATGAGCTGGATCATCCACAGCAGCTGGATGATCTTGAATGACTCATTTAATCTCTCTGAACATCTTCAGTTTCTCCATGTAATATGGAAACAGTAATCTCATCTGGCCAGGTTTTGGGGAGAAATAGGTGGGAACATGGGTATAAATATGTACATGATCATGACTGTATACATTACCTGTTAAACCGAGAAAAGGGGAATGGAATGCAGAAAAGTGGTGTACTGGTAAACCAGCTCTCCTGAAAGAGGAAGCTCTGATTTATAGCATCTGCCAATTTCCATGGTGTAAACACCCCCACCTTGGCCAATTTCATGCTCCCAGTGGTTTGTTGACTTGCAAAGTTCCTGAATATCTTACTTCCAGCCTCCTGGATGTCATCAACATGTAAAGCACATGAGCACCCCCATCTACTCCTCATTTCCCACTAGCACAGGAGCAGCATCAGACAGGGACGTCCTCATTATTACCCGAGGCCCTTATGACTGTCTCCAGGAGCCTTCTCTCATAACCCACACCTGTTCTGCTTCCAACCAGATTACCCAGAGAACATGGAGACAGCTGCAGTTTCCTTCTCCCCTCTACATCTCACTCCTCATGTTGGAGATGACTGTTCTAGATGTTCCAGATAAACCAGCTCTTTGGCAGGAGGTCCTTGGATACCCAGACTCTCCCAGGGATGGGGACAGTGGCCAATGGGGGGGGGGAAGTCCAGTGACAACAGGCACAATTGCAGCCATGGCTGAATGGCACAGACAACATGAAGGAAGTTTTACTAAATTTCATAACGGAACAGTAAGACCTTAAGTAGGGGGAAAGGGCTTTAAAAGACCCTCATCACAGATTTTATACATGTCCATACATACACACTCATATACATCCTGAACTATAAAAGTGGTCAAATTATGGTATATCCACTCAGTGGAGACTTTTAAACTAATATTTACAAAATATTTGAAATACATGGAAAAATACTTAGAAATAGGATATAAAGGGGACCAACAGATGGCATAATGGTTATGTTGCTGGACTCCCACATAGCTGACTGCATTTCAAGCCCCAGACCCAGTAGCTTAAACTCATGCCAGGTGCATGTGCACGTGTGCCCAAAATCTCAAGAGGAGAATGGAGAAGGGACTGTGGCATGGTCATCCCCCCTAGGGAGTCATTTCTCACTATCTGTCTCTCTGGCAAGCACACACACCCTATAGAACAAATCTCTCAAAAAAAAAAAAAAAAAGGGAAAGAAATAAATAGGATGTAAAAATGTATTCAGTGACCAGCAAATGAAATAATGGTTATGTTGCTGGACTCCCACATAGTCAACTGTGGCTCAAGTCCCAGACTTGGCAACTTAAAACTCAGGCCAGGTGAGTGTATGTGTGTGCCCAAAATCCCTAGAGGAGACTGGAGAAGGGATTGCAGCATGGCCGCCCCCCCAGGGGGTGATTTCTCATTTTCTGTCTCTGTTTTTCTTTGTCTTTCCAGTGAGCACATGCACCCTATGGCAAAAAAATCTCTTAAAAAAATAAATAAAATAAGTATTCAACCAGAGAAAAAAAAATCTGAGTAAAACATTACATATGGAGCAGGGAAAAAGCATACACACACACACACACACACACACACACACACACACAAATAAAAACAAACAAACAAAAAACACTAAAAGGTGAAGAATAGTTATGTAGGGTGGGGAGACTCCAGGTGTTATAATTTATATCCTTTTTATATTTTGTGAAAATTTTATAAACATGCTATTTTAATGTACATTATTTCATTTTTATGAAAAAAGGTTTTAAGAAAACTAGCTTCCTTCCCAGTCACTTGTATATAAACTCCCTCAAGCTAGAGATAAGAGTTGATGAGACCCAGAGTCTGTGCCTATCGGCCACCTTGACACCTACCACTGTACAGAACCATTCATACTTTGTCCATGTCGCCCCAGGCCCTGCCTTATTCATCCTGCAGTTCCAGGGTTGCACACAGTTGACCACTGTGCTTCCATACTGCAGACCCACCCAAGATAGTCAGAGTTTCCCACAAACTTGAACTGGGAAAACTAACACAGGACCTTCCTACTAGGGCTCTGATTTGTCTTTGGATGATCAAGACCACCAAGATTAAAGGCCAGCAAAGCGTCCTTGTAGACTGTGGTTGTGACTTTGCCTCTTTCCTACCCTGAATGCAATGGGGCCAGCACTACACAAGGTTTCCTGGAAAAGCCTTCTCAACCAAAGAGGAGGAGGAAGTGAAGAGGGCACTTGGCCAAGACCAAATTTGTACTGAGCACCTGTTAGGTGGGGCTCGAAGATCGTCAGTGGTCGGCACAGACACAGTACCTGCCCTCAAACATCCGGAGGGTCTCCCCTCCCATTGCTCACACCCCTCTTGCCTCCCTGCCCTGCCTGTGTCTCCAGCTCTGTCTAAAATGAGCTAAAATGGCTAAAATGGTGGTAGTCTTGGCCTATGAAAATTGTCACTGATAGGGCAGGCTCAGTATTGCAGTGGTTAGCCACTGTGCAGTGGGAGCCAGATCCCACATGGCCAGCTACAGTTCAAATCCCAACCCAGCAGCTTGAAAAACATGCCATGTGGCTACGTGCATGCCGCAAATCTTGATGGGATGGAGAAATGAAAGAAAAAGGATTGTGGTGTGACCACGTTCAGTTGAGCGAGATGGTACATCTTTATTCTCTCTCTCTCCCTTTCTTTCTTTCTAGCAGGCACACATAACCTCAGGCAATTAAAAATATTTTAAATTGTTAACTGATGGAGCGTTATCAGCTATAAAATGAAGGAAAAACTCTAGATCAATGGATCTCAACAGTGTTTGGTCTGGGCACCTTGGGGATCCCAAACAACCCTTGTTGGAGACACAAAGCCTAACTGTATTCATAACAATACTGTGATATTATTTGTACTTTCCCTCTCATTCTTTCACGCATGTATAGCAATGCTTTCCAGAAGCAACCTGCCATGCGATGTCCCAACAGATTGATGCAAGCAGATAGGAAAACCCAGCTGTCTCCTGTAAGCCAGGCATTCAGAGATTTGCAAAAATGTAAACCAGAGCCAGCATGTGTGGTGGTTAAGGCACTGGATTCCACATGGCTAACTTTGTGGTTCGAGTCCCGGACTCAATCTTGAAAAACACACAGTGTGTGTATGCGTGTGTGCCCAAAATCATTCTGAGAGGAGAATGAAGGAGAAGGGATTGCAATGTGGCCATTCCCCTGGAAGGTGATTTCTCACTTTCCCTCTCTCTCTCTCTGTCTCTCTCTTGCGAGCACAGGCACCCTAAAGCAAAAAAAATTTTAAATGAAAAAAAAGGGAACCAACAGATATGGCTTATTAACTGTTGATGATGACATGTATAGTATTCTCAACTGGATTGGTCTGAGAAGTATTTCATGATGGGCAAAGTATTTTTACAAGCAAAATGACAAATAGCGATTGACTGTTTTAAAAAATAATTATAATAATAAAAATAATGATTGGGGAAAACATAGAAAAGATATTGAATGTTGAAGTGGGGAGAGTAATGTCTCTGTACTGACTGACATGCATGGCATTCCCTTTTGGAAAAGCAATGTAATACACTGTAAAGTTATATGCAATCCAATGTAATATAAAGAAGATTATGATGATAATAAAACATAAAAAAAAAACCACTATACCAAAAAAAAATGTTAAATTTACTTCTTTCAGAAAAGTATATAGTTATTTTTAGTAGTAAATTATGTGTTCTTATGCTAACATGTAGTGAGTTTATTTTTCAATGAATTAAGAGTTATTTAAAAATATCCTCCATTTTAATTTCCAGTAGAATGAGGGTTAATTGATGTAGCTCACCTATATTCTTTGATGTCTTCCGTAATTCTTAAGAGTACACAGAGTAAGTAAAACCAAAAATCCAGACTCCTAAATTGAAGTTTCCAAGTTCTCAGTGACAGGCTTAGCCCTGCACTGCCCCCCATCAGGGCTGGACTTGTTCTCACCATTTCACACTCCTGGCTGTCCCGGCCAGCCCTCGTGGGGGCACAGATGGGAAACGGCAGGGCAGTGGCTAGCTGAACCCACTCAGACGGGCTTGCAAGGGCCAGTCATGAACAGATTCCCAGCTCCATCCTCAGTGATGCCACTTTGGTAGTCCAAGATCAGCCGTGGTGAGAGCCATGCACACCATGAAAACTGGCGGTTTGTACACACCAGGGTTTCTTTTGATTACTTAGTTTCATTTAGCTTAGCCTTCCTCCCTAGGGGACAGACTTGGGGCAGTGAGTTTCCTCGGAGGCAGCAAGGTCTGGCCAAGAGCTGGACACCTGGGACCCTCATCCTGGCTTCAAAGCTTTGTTCTGCCAGTCAGAAGCTGAGTGCCCTGGGAAAGGCTTTGGAAGACCTGCTCATAATCCTTACCCTGCAGAGGGAGGCTGTCAATCAACAGAGAGAGCATCTATGAAACATGAGCACAAGGAGGGACCGGTACCCAAGAGAAACTCCAGGCAGGTCAGCTCTGCCTCCCACAGCTTCCAGCTCCTTTCCACGCCCCTGCTGTGTCGCACACGTGTGATGTCAGGCCAGTCTCTGGGAGTGGCTGTTGGGATGTCCCCTGACGTTTTGCATCTCACAGACGCAGCCCACAGAACTGGCATTTCAGCATCTGCTTACGTGGTACATGGCGGCAAGGTCGGCAAGTGCCCCTCTCCCAGCCCCTCAAGTTCTAACCACCCTCCCTGAGCCTCTGCGGTGCACGAAGCCAGCAAGGGCACCATGAGCAGCCTGAGCCAGGAGCAGGGCTCAGGCTCAGCTGTAAGAACCCATTCTGCAATGTTCGTAGATTGATATGGTAAAGAGTTTGGTGAGTTAACCACCCAGAAAACCCAGGAGTGCAACAGGTCTCTGCACGCTTTCAGTACTCTCTAAATAGTCCTACTGTGCAAGGTGCCTACTCACAACCAAGGTGACTTCAGATCTTTGGACCCTAGTCCTCTGCAACTCCCATCTCTGCATCCCCCATCCCTCCCACCATGTTTTCCCTTCCACTCCTGCCCAGCTGGAGAGGAGGCTCAGCACTGCTCACACTAGACCTTCGACTTCCAGTTAGTGAGAAAGGCAGCTCTGGTCTGTGACATTGACTCAAATCCTTCCCTGGCTAGGAAGATCTCAGCCCTGGGGATAGCCCAGCCATGCTCAGCTCAGGACCTTACAAGGAAGTTGGCCCAGCAAGCACAGGAGGGCCCCCTGCTCGCTACTTCCTGCTGCCTTCATTCCCTAACTTCCCTCATGGCTTCATCACTCACCCCACCCTGGCAGTGCTCACTGGACTCAGAAGCAGCTGATGAAGTGCCCAGAATGTGAAACAGGCAGGTCTGCTTCCAGCTGCTGCCTTGGCTCCTTGGGCATGACAGCAGCTCTGCTGGGTCACCCTAAGACGAGGTGGTCCCAAGGCAGGAGATGTGTGACTGTCTAGCATTGCCCTCTACACCACATGCTCAGTGCACAGCCCAGAATGTGCCTAGGACTGAGCCCTAACCACCAGGAGGAACTTTCTGTCCTTTCCTGCACAGTTGATGATGCATTTAGAGGATATCCAAGGTCGAGGCCCAGATAAAATGGAGCATTGGGAAACTGACTTCCAGAATGTTGATGAGAAAGAGAAAGAGTTTATGGTGAGCGTGTCCTGAATCGGCGCTAGGGAAGGAAACATCACCAAGCCCCTTCAGAATGCCCTCCAGTGTTCTCACTAGCTTGTTCATCTCTGGAAATTCCACCCTCAGTGATTCATTCTTTTAGTTGACAACCCTGAAAAAAATGTCATCTTTATTCTCAGTTCCAAGTAGACAGCTAGCAGAACTAATTAGGATACACGGCTGGGGTCATACATTCATTATCCTACTGCATTATTCAAGCAGCCCTGGAAGTGCTACCTTGCCATACCCATCTCGCTGCTGACGACAATGAGGTTCGGAGAGGTTAGAGAATTGGTCCAAGCTCTCACAAATGCAGAATGCAGAATTTGATCTCAAATCTAGAAGACACAGTTCCTCCCTTCATGAGCTCCTGGATTTGAGGAGAAGGGGTCAAGTACCTGAGTGATGAAGGACAGGGCTCTGAGTTGTGGTGCAATGAACTCTGGGGATGATGGGAAGGAGAGGGGGAGCCCCTGAGTCAGACAAAGGCTGGAAGTTTCTTGGTGCTGATGCTTGGCCTAGGCTTTGAAGGATGAGCAGGAGTTGGGTGGATGAGAAAGTAAACAGAGTTCCCACCAGAGGAACTGGCACCTCCAAGTGTGCAGGGGCATGAAGGAGAAGGCCATCTTTGGGGAAACACAAGGTCAAATGCACAAGAGGAGATGCAGGCTGCAGATGACAGGAGCTCAGAGGGGCCAAGGCCCCACTAAAGAAGTCCCAAGTCAGTGTCCCAAGCACCAACTCCGAAAACTGGCTTTGGTCTATCAGCACCCTAGTGATGGGGTTTTTATCGCGGCTTGGCATGGTGCCATGCTTTGGGAGGTTTCCTAATCGGCACCCCAGAACCCACTTGACCCTTTCCCCAGCCTTGGGTAGGGACAGGTCAAGTGTCAGTGTCCCTGCCCCAGCCAGGAGCCAGCCTCTCCTAGCCTGCCCTCCCCTCCAAGCCTTCCCCTCCTCTCTGACCTCTACCCCTGACCCCAGCTGGTAGGAAATACTCAATGAGCTCCACAGGGCAGGCATATGAGACAGCTTCCAGGGGTTGCAGTGTCTGTGCAGACTCTCCCCAGACACACACACACACACACACACACACACACACACACACAGGCAAAGGGCCAGTACCTTCAAAGCATTTCCCAGCCCTGAAGTCATCTGTCTGAGGACTCTGTAAAGATAGTGTCACACTGGCTGGGACACGTGGGATTCCAGATGCAGAGCGCTGAAATACCCTGGAATGTGCTAGAGCTAAGCATAAGGCATCCTGTTTCCGCCCACCCTTGCCCAGTCCACCGGGGTTGGGTGATGTAGAATAAGGACCCCCCTGACTTGGGACAGGCTCTATCCAGAGATTCTGAGATTCTGTTTCAGATCCTGGAGACAAGTCTGCCACTCTCTCCCCAGTATATATCCAGGGAGCATTTTACAGAGAGGCTGACCCCAGCCTGAGGGGGTTGTGGGGACAGGCTGCTGGGAGCCTTGTGGTTGAGCTCCTGAATACAGAGAGGTTGAGGGTGTCCTGGACACTTTGCCCAGATCCACGCACATCCAAATGAGGCTGAGGCCTTCCCCTAGGGCTCAGCCGAGCAGCCTCTAAGAGCTGCCGATTGGCACCAAGAAAGAGTCTAAATGTTGGCATCACAAACCCACAAAATAAAGCAAACAAGTAAGTTCCCAGAAACGTGCTTCCTCCCTCTCTTCAATGAATGGCTCTCATAGTTTCTCTGGCTTTTTCCAAAGGAGAAGAAATGGCCAATTAACGGCTTCGCCATCCCCAGGTACTCACTCTCTGAACTGAGAACCAATCACCATGGAGCTAACCATCAGGGGATGCTTGGGGTGTTTACTTCAGTCTCTCTTTTCTGCTCCAAACTGCCCACTTCAGGAGCTTCCTCAAAAGGGAAAATGGGGAGCGCATAGAGGGGTCAAGAGATAAGGATACTTCCCCACTTGGAGACTTTTCGGAGCTCTGGCCAGGATCTCATGTCAGAAACACCAAGCAGGAAAGGCAAAGAGATTCCATCAAGAGTGTCAAATTGATTGGGTGGCTTCTCAGGGCACTGTGTTGAAAAGAATTATGATACCAACATGCTGCAACTGATTGGTCGTGTCTGCCGCGGTCATGGAGATTCACCATCCCTCATCTATAAGTTGGGGGACTTGCCCTAAACAGGAGACAATTCCCCAGCTGGGTCTTTGGTAGCAAAGAGGAAGACTCCGGCCACATGGTATAAATAAACCACCAGACTCCTCACCAGATTTCTCAGGACCTTAAGAAGCATGTACTGGCCCATCATTCCCCATCTGACAAGACAATATCTGCTCCCTTTTCTAATGATGTTAAATTAAATGTTGTATTAGGAAACACTTGCCTAAAATAGAGACACATTACAGGGTTAAGTTCTCCTCTGTAAAAATGAGTAAATGTTTTCTTGCTTGCTGGGGATTCAAAGGACAGTCCGGCTGTCACCAGAAGTAACATCAGACCCATAAAAAATGTTCCCTGTGGAAGGGCAAACAGGCTTCAGCACTGTACTCTGGGCTAAAGTTCACAGAAACACTTCCCATGATGCTGTGCTCCAAAATCCCAAATGATTCATGGCGTTTGGGCCACCTCATTTGGACACCTTGGTTTGCAGGGTGCTGGGTAGATAGAGGTACCTCCAGATGGCATAGTAGTGGGTACCAGCACCAAATGCCACAAAGAGATGCCAGATGGCATGGGCAAAGGGGATCCTCCCGTCACTCTTGAAGAACACCATGCCCAAGCAGTAGAAGACCCCTCCGGTCATCAGCTCCCAGATGCCCTCAGTGTTGGGCTGTCAGCAAGGACAAGGGTGAAGCACAGGTCAGAAAAGCAGCCAACAAGATCAGTAGGACAAGACATAGCCATCCCCCACCACCTGAAAACAAAGATGGTGAGCTAACCCAGAGTCTCTGGGGCTGGGGGAGTCGATATCATGAGATCATTGGTTCTCTCCCAATTAATTCTCAAATGTAATGTGTTTCTATCAAAATCTCAAAGAATAGTTTTGTTGCTTTTTATCTTTTTTAAAACAAGATAGTATCAGGTTGGCGAGAAAGTCATGATATATTTTTCTGTTTTTCCACGCAAAAATGCATTATGACTTTCCCGACAACCCAGTACATCTGGTTGGCCCTGGCCTAGTGGTTCAGATGAACTAAATCCCACATGGCTGACCGCTGTTTGAATCCATCCCTAGAGACTTGGAAAACACACTAGGCACATACGCGTGCATGCCAAAATCCCAACAGGGTGAAGAGATGGAGGAGAAGGGATTATAGCAGTGTGACCATGCTCCATTGGGGAGATGCTGTTTCTCTCCCTCTTTCTCTCTCTCTGGTGAGTACATACACCTCCTAGCAAATTGAAAAAAAAATACAGCTTAATATAGATGCAAAAATTATATTCACACAAAAAAGGGAGAGCAAGGACTTGAAAAAATATGTGTACATCCCTGCTCATAGCAGCATTATTCATAATAACCAAAATGTAGAAACAGCCCATTGATGGATAAAGAAACAAAATGTGCTTTACTCATGCAATGGTGGCACGGTGGCAACGCAACTGGACCCACATGGAAAAAGTCCTGGTTCCCAGGACCTCCCTGAGTATGGCAGGTGCATGCATGCCCATGATCCAGGCCAGCTAAGCTACAGATGGATTGTAGTGTGTGGGCCCTATTAGGACTCTCTCTCTCTCTCTGTCTCTTTCTCTCAAGAAATGAATAGGGATATGAAAAAAAAAAAAAAGGAAGGAAGGAAGGAAAGAAATCCTGACACATGCTACAATACAAGTGATCCTTGAGGGCATTATACTAAATGAAATCAGCCAGTCATGAAAAAACAAACACTACATGATTCCACTTATACAAGGAGTCTGGAGTAGAATGGTGGGTGCCAGGACTGGGAGTTAGTGTTAATGGGTGCAGAGTTTCAGTTTGGGAAGATGACAAAGTTTTAGAGATGGACAACAGTGATGGGTACACAACAGAATGTACTTAAAGCCCCTTAACTGCACACTTAAAAATGGTTAAGAGGGGCGCTCAGGGGTGGTCTCTGTGAAGCAAGGCTAGGTGGGGCAGGGTGCCCTAGTACAAAGGGTGGCGGCAGTAGCTGTGCAGTCTACAGCATGGCATAGCCGGCCACCCAGGAGCGAGTGGCGGGTACTACCCAGACAGGTAGGGAGGGAATCCTGGAGGGCCTTCATTTCCTGGACAAACTCAGGATCCGCTGTATGGTTCCTTCACTGCTGTAGTGGGACAAGATCAGCAAATCGATGCTGATGAATTGCAGAGATGTCTGACCCAGCCGGGCATTGCCAGAGGATACAAAATTGGTTAAGAGGGTAAATCTTACAGTATGTGTATTTTACCACAATTAAAAAAAAGGGAATATATATGTCTGTAGGAAAAAAAAAGTTAGAGAAAATAAACGAACAAAAACAGTAAGAAAAAAAGTAGTAGTCCTAGTTCAACAGAAGATAATTATTAACATGGGTTGTTTCTAGTGAAAAGACTCCAGTAGGGTAGGAGATAGGGCAGTAAGAAGAGCCTGCCAAGGGGCCAGTAGGTGGCATGGTGGTTAAGGAGCTGGATCCCACATGGCTGAGTCTGCAATTCAAGTCCCAGACCCAGTGGCCTGAAAAACACACACTTGGTGTGTGCATGTGCATGCATGCTCAAAATCCCAAGATAAAATGGAGAAGGGGTTACAGTGTGGCCATTGCCCCTGTGGGGAGCAATTTCTCACTTTCCCTCTCTTTCTGTCTCCCTTTGGCAAAAAAAAAAAAAGAGAGAGAGAGAGAAAGAAAAAACAAACGACAACAACTAAAAAAAGAAATAGAAAAAGAAAAGAAAGAAAGAGCCTACCAAGCTCTCATCTCAATTCTCCAGGCCCACTTTCTTCAGTAACCACCATTAACAGTCCTTTGCGGGACCAGCAGTTAGCGTAATGGCTACGTCTCTGGACTCCCACATAGTCGACCACAGTTCACGTCCTGGACCCGGTGGCTTAAAACTCAACGCCGGGCGCGTGTGTGTGCATGCACAGGATCCCAAGAGGAGAATGGAGGAGAAGGGATTGCAGCGTGGTCATCCCCCCTGGGGGGTGATTTCTTGCTTTCTGTCTCTCTGTCTCTGTCTGTCTGGCGAGCACACGCGCCCTATAGCGAAAACCTCTCTAAAAACAAACAAACAAACAAACAAAAAAAACAGTCCTTTGCAGTATCATTCCTGTCTTCTATACACTTACAATATTTAATATACAGGGCCAACAGGTAGCATATTAGTTAGGGTGCTGGACTCCCACATGGCCAACCACAGTTCAAGTCCTGGACCCAGTGGCTTGAAACTCACCCTGGGCATTCGTGCATGACTGCCTGCGTGCATGCATGCCCAAAATCCCAAGAGGAGAATGGAAAAGGGATTGCGGTGTGGCCATCCCCCTGGGGTGGGGGTGGGGGTGATTTCTCACTTTCTGTCTATCTCTCTGGTGAATGCATATGCCCTATACCAAAAATCTCTCTCTACAAAAATTTAATATACATTTTATATATATGTCTCTACATACCAGAACTCATAATTTTCAGATTAATAGGCTCATACCAACCCCACATTCTGTAGCTTGGTTTTCCACTAAGTCTCTTGGAGAGCAACCTACATGTCTACACATAGATCCTCCTCAGCCTTCCTAACAGCTCCAGAGGATTGCATCATACATATGTGCACAACGAGTACTCACTCTGTCTTCAAGAGTACGATAACTGAGTATCAATTACACAATATGAATAATGCCTGGCACTTCCTAGCACTTAGACAAGGCACCGGCATGGTCTCCGTCTGTGTGTTATCTGAGTCATCCTCACAACAACCTTGAGAGGCTGATCTCACTCTTTATGGCAGTCTCCAATGTTCACGAGATTGGAGAAAAGCATGCTGCAGAATGCTCTGCAGAGTATGACCTCATTTTCATAAAAGGTAAATAAACAAGTCAGTATTTGTCTGGTTATCCACATACACTTGCATATCAATTTTTAAAATGGAAAAGATGTACAGCAAATTGTTAACGGTGGATGCAATGGGCACCTCGTACTGGGGAGGAGATGGAAGGGTAACATTTGCCCATGGGACTTGTTTTTGGCAGTGAAAATATAATTAAGTACCCATTTACTATGTAAGTATATGTGTGTGTATGTGTGTGTGTGTGTGTGTGTGTACTTAAACGTGTAATAGCATAATTTAATGGTTATTCTGTAATTGAATAGATGAAACTTCATATATATTTAAATGAAGTTGAGGGACAAAAAAGGCAAAAATAAGTACAAATCATAGGGATGTTTAAACAAGAAGAACAACGTGGCAAGGCTTCACTGCCAAGTATTAAAATGCAATTAAGGGACCAGCAGTTGGAGTAATGGCTATGTTGATGAACTCCCATGTAATCAACAGTGGTTCGAGTCCCAGACCTGGTGGCTTAAACTCACGCCGGGCGCATGTGCAAGCGTGCCCAGGATCCTGAGAGGAGAATGGAGGAGAAGGGATTGCAGCGTGGCCATCCTTCCTCAGGGGTGATTTCTCACTTTCTGTCTCTCTGTCTCTCTCTGTCTTTCTGGCGAGCACGCGCACCCTATAGTAAAAACCTCTTTTAAAAAATGCAATTAAAACTACAATAGGTAAAACAGTTTGGTACTCATATATGAGCAGACAGGCCAATTGATGAGAATGAAAATCTCAAAACAGACTCCATATGCCTGTCCTAAGTGACTTTAACATATGATGAAAGGAATATTTCAAAATAAATGCTGGGATAAATTACACAATTGGCTAATGGTCTGGGGAGGGATCACCATATACAAAGGAAATTACAGCAGGCGTGAAGAACTAAAAAGTAAAATGTAAACAATAAAAGAAATAGGAGAAAATACAGGTAAGTGTTTATACAAACTTGGAGAGGAAAGATCTTCCCAACCATTGCACTGGGGATGACCGTCAGAAAATAAAGCAAAGTTTCTAAACCCCGTCAAATTTGACTATATAACATTTTAAAAATATTTGCCATTAATAATAATTTTAAAACAATAAACTATCATCCAGGCTAGGAAGATAGGTGGGCTAAGGTTACTGTGTCCATTTGACAGATGAAGTAACTGAGGCTCTCAGAAGAAAACTAATCCACCTACATTCATATTTTCCTTCTCTAGCTGGGGTCCTTAGTCCTCTCATTGCAAGGCTCCACTATCCAATGCAGGTCAGAGGCCCCCCAACACCTGCAGTCAGAGGACATGGGATCAAATCCCAGATTGGCCTCTCAGAGGCAACATGGCCTTGGCTGGTCACATCCCCTGTCAGAGTCTGAGTGTCCTCATTCGTGATATGGGGTCATTGCATTTATCTCCGAGGACGCCTGGGAGGAGGAAATAAGATCCTGTGGGATGTCTCTTATACTTCGTAAGGGCTCAGTAAGGCGTAAACCTGGTAGCCCCTTCTGGGTTTGGCTTCTATGGCCAAGAAGCAGCTGAGGATGTGGAAACACTGAGACTGAGACTCAGCTCTGTCCTCATTACCAATTACACTATTATGATAGATTTAATTTAGCCACTGGATTGTGACTCTGTTCCAATCACTGTGCTAATCACTTTACATAGGTGTTCTCTTCATTTAATAAAGGGGAAAGTGGAAGCACAGAGAAGTTAATGAACTTGCTCAAGGAGAGGCAGAGAGTTCGTGGGGAAAACCCAGCAGTTGGAGCTCTACATGATCCATCTCCATGTTCTGCTACTCTTTAGGCAAGTCATACTGACCTACTGAGCCTCAGTTTCTCCACCTGACAAAGCAAAGAGTGCGACCTGACAATCTCAAGAGTCAGGTTCAGTATACACACTCTCAGTCCCCTCTGCCAAACATGAGGCCCCACGCTGGGCAGAGGGACTTACCATTGAAAGGATGACCAAGGCAGGGAAAAAGCCCATCACGACATAGCAGAGCAGCTCCACAAGTTTGTACCTGGCAGGAAGACAAGCCATCTTGGCCTCATGATGCACCTCTTTAGAAGAAATAGCCTACAGCTTCCCATTTCTTGTAAGAGGAGACACCCTGACCACAATGATTAGGAACTTTGTCTGTCACTCCTTGGGTCAGGTTTTATCCAACCACATCCAGTTGTAGTGACCTTGGCAAGTCTCCTTCTCTCCCTGAGACTCAGTTTCTACACCTGCTAAATGGCACGCTGGAGCTGGAGCAGTAATAGAAGTAGTGGGCATAGTATGCAAATGGGTACTTCCAATGCTCAGTCCATGGCAGACATTACTATTCAATCCCAGCATCTTCTCCCATGAGCCCCAAGAAGCCACTCTCAATCAAGCTGAGTTGTTCCATCAACTGAAACCTATTTGCTATCCCTGGGTTGAATGAGACCTTAAGGGCTCTGAAATCCCAGAAGGCTGCTATTTCCTGTTGCTTCTATAACTCTGTTTCTTTCCCAACTCAATTATTTTCATCCTTGCTATTCCCTCAGCAGAAAACAGAACTGTTTGGCTCTCTCAAAGCCTCTTCCTTTTCTTAGCTAAGACAGCGTAGGGAAGACAGGTGACATGTGACCCAATTCAATTGGTGAGGAACATAAGAAGTACTTTTGAAAATCATGACCCTATGGATTGGTGTTTATCCCTGGGCTCCAACACTGGAAAGCCAGGTGGAGCCCTGTCCTCACATTCTGGGGATCTTCCTGCATTCTCACCTGCCCAGAGGCATTGAGGAGGCCCTGTTGGAGCATCAAGGGGCAGCCCACCCCCCTGAAACTCCAGCCCTGGCTTACCGCTCATGGAAGAAGAAGACGTAGATGGTGCCAACAGAGGCCATAATCCAGACCAGCCAACGCATGTGGGAGGCCCAGGGGCCCAGCTCCCGAAGGTTCAGCCTGGGAGAGAAAGAATCGAGGGCATGGCCTGAGGGGGGCCCACCAAGACCTAGCCCCCAGTGGCTGACCATCACAAGAAACTGACCCCAGAGATGCCTGTACCCTGTGGCTGCATGGACAGGACGTGGACTTTCAGGGAAGATGTGCGGAGAGGCAAAAAGATCACTAGACAAATTGAAACAGCAAGCAATTAGAGGAAAATTAGCAAAACTGATAATGAAGGATGAAGACAAAGATCATCTCAAACTAGTGGGAAAATAAATGAGTAAAGTCAATTTAGAGGATGTCTAGTTCGTTATTGCACTGCCAACAGAAATATCTCAGACTGGGTGGTTTATAAAGAAAGGGTATTATTGACTCACAGTTCTGGCATCTGGAAAGTTCAAAGACATAGACTTGGTGTCAGGACAACTACAGCATGGCTTATGGAAGTACCACGGATGGCAGGTGTGTGGAAAAAGAGAGTAAGCTGCGGACAGCTTCCCCCTCTCATAGCACCCAGCTTCATGAGAACTAACTCCTTTTCACGAAAGCCAGAACTCACTGGGTCTCGTGAGACATCATCCATCTATCCATAAGAATGTGGCTTCCATGATGTGGTCACCACGATCCAATCACCACCCCCTAGACCTCACTGCCTCCCAACACCAAATTCCAAAACATGAAACTTTGGGGTACAAACCATTAGCCAAACCACAGAAGAGGGCAATTTGGCAGAATCCATCAAACTTTGAAGTGCACATTCCTGGTCAGTCCACTTCCAGTAGCTAGTCAAGGAAACACTGTTTTGTACACACACACACACACACACACACACACACACACACAGACATGGATGAAGACTTTCATCACAGCATTGGCCCCAGTAGGAAAGACCTGAAAACTACTGAAGTGGCTACCAAAACAGATGAGAAAATAGAGATGGTATCTACCTGTCCTTATTATCAACGAATTGCTTTGCAGCCCAGCTGTTACCCTTTTCGCCTGCTCTGTGACGATGTAGCTAGGACTCATGAAGAGCCTTCCACTGCAGCAGGCACAGCATTAAACTTTGACAGTAGAGGGCACTAGAGGGACTCTGCAGGAGGAAAGGCTCTTCCTTCTTAGTTCCTATGCTTCTCATACTTGGAGTTCTCATGGGCCTTCCTGTCCAGCAAGCTGGTTGTCTTAGCTGCCTAGAGCTATCTGGACTGAACTACACAGAAATGCTCTACATCCCTGCAGAGGGGGATTCTCCAGCTCCTGGTTCCGGCAGCACCCAGAAGCTTCCCCAAATGGAGCAGTGCTAGGGTTCAGCACTTTCCTATTACGGATGGCCTCCCCTAGTATCAAGGAAGGCAGATTTATTTCCAGCATTCACACTGGCAGGCTTTGCACAGACTTCTCTGACACACAGTGAGCCATCCCTACAGCCTTTCAGATGTGGTGGGACCTTAACCCTGGACAAAGGAGGGGCTTGTAAGAAGGACACAAGAAAAGTCACTCCTCAGCTCCTCACCTCACATGTTTCCCAAGGGGCCTTTTCCAGTGTTCACTCTCAGTGGAGAGGAAAGATGGGACCCTCTCTGTAGGTGTGGGTACTTGGCAGGAAACTTCAAGATGGCTGGTAGGGGTAAGGTGGAGTTAGGAGGTACCCTGCCGCTGCTCCACTCCAGAACTTTCTGACTCTGACATCATGGCACTGGGCCGTGTTTTCTTTTTTGTCCAGCAATTGACAGTGATCTTTCTTTAGCCCTTCTCAATACTTAAAACTATATTTTGTTTGTTTAGCATCAAGGAGGGAAGATGCTTCGTCACATCACCCTTGATTCTATCACTTTCATTCATGACATGGTCCTACTTCATTGACCCGTGAATGACGCGAGTGTGCTAGACAGTGTGCCTTACCTCGTTTCTTCTCATAACTTGGGAGAGAAGGGTGCATTATCATTTTCTCCATTTTAGAGGTCAGGAAACTGAAGCCCAGGAAGACTCAGTAATTTACCAGAGGGCACATGGCTGGGGAGAGACTGAACTGCAGCTTACTGCTGTCTGACTCATGAGCTACTCTTTTTCTACTATACCTGAGCTTTTCAACTTTCTTTTAACCATACAGTGTCCATTCCTTAATAAGTATTTTATACAGAAATCTTATATGTATGAGGGGGCTTCAAAATTTTGTGTAAAAATGGAATTAATGTATGGTTTTATTTTGGTGCAAAAAAAAAATAAAACCCATCCCTTTTTTTTTTTTTTTTTTTGGAGAGATTTTCACTACAGGGCACGTGAGCTCACCAGACAGAGAGAGACATAGAGACAGAAAGCGAGAAATCACCCCCAGGGAGGATGGTCACGCCGCAATCCCTTCTCCTCCATTCTCCTCTCGGGATCTTGGGCACGCACGCACACTCCCCCGGCGTGATTTTTAAGCCACTGGGTCCGGGACGCGAACCGCAGTCGACTATGTGGGCGTCCAGCAACATAGCCATTACGCTAACTGCTGGTTCCCCCTATCTTTTTCATAATACACATCTCCCATGACCTTTCTGAAGACCCCACATAGGCCCATCTGTAGTAAACAAAACCAAATAACCCAGTGGATTTTTCATTCCTTTATTTTTTTCTTCTATAGGGCACATGCACTCAGTGTAGAGAGACAGGGGAAATGAGAAATCATCCCCCAGGGAGGATGGCCACACTGCGATCCCTTCTTCCTCCATTCTCCTCTTGGGATTTTGGACATGTATGCACACACAAACAGCATATTTTTCAAGCTGCCAAGTTGGGGACTCGAATCACGTAGTTGGCCATGTGGGATCCTGTTACCTTAACCACGATGCCGCTAGCTGGCTCCCAACTAGATTTTTCTACCTAAGGTAGGAACAGAAAAGTCCTGAGTCATTCACGCTCCCATCTTCCTCAATGAGCCTCTGGGAAAACCCGAGAACTCTGTGGAAAACCAAAGCAATACAAAGAAAAAATAAACCTACCAAATAATTTTATCACCTCATTCTATGTCATGCTCTCACCATGCACTCAGGTGGCCAGCCAGAAAATCCATCACCATGCAACTTTCCCCGTCTCTCACACATCCAGTCAGTCACCAAGTGCTGCGGATTCGTCACTCTAAGTAGTTCTCTAACCAGGGACATCCTGCACCATGGGCCCTGTTCTCCTCTGTGGCCCTCACCACAGTTACGGCTCGTCCGCTCGTGCAAGCACTGGGACCATCAGATCTGCATTCCCTGTTAGACCCTAAGTCTCACAAGCAGAGGGTGCTGGTGCTTTTGTCTGTGGTGACACCCTCAGATACAGACCCAGAGTGGCACTCAACCAATTACAGCCAGGGGTGGCAAATTCGCCAGGGAGAGGACAGTCGAGGGGTCGTACAAGGGGTCTTCAAAACATTTGCGGAAGTGTGTACTGTGAAGAAACTACACACGGATTTCAAAATTGTTGTGCGCTAAAAAAACTTTTACTTTAATTCCACTTTTTTCCACAAACTTTTTGAAGTCCCCTCCCTCTAGACATCTATGTCAAGCATAGTGACTGCAGCTGACCACAAAACTTAGCTTCGATCTTCTCAGCAGCAACTCCTAAGAAACTGGAGACTTTACCCAGTTCCCAGTACAGCAGGTGGTGCCCAGAGGAAGCTCAGGCCATCAAGAAAGGGAACTCCCTCGGGGCTTTTGGCTTCTCTTCCCTTCTTCTCTAAGCACCCTCCAGTATCCCCCCACCCCCCACCTACCCACCAGAGCTACAGCCACTGCCCAAGACCTACACCAAGTTTGGAAGTCTCCGACTGCCTGCCCAGCTGGTGTGTGACAGCCAGACACATCCAGCTTTCGGGCGAGAAGCAAGTCCTATCTCTAGGCCAGGCTATGCATGGGGCTGGCAGGTGATGATCTCCGCAGCAGGCTCAGGGGTAGCTACTCTCCCACAGCCACTGATACCCTAGGGAGAGCCAGCCCCAGAAACCCTGGCTTTTCCCTTCTTTTCCTCCCCTCCCCTTCCCTCTCCTCCCTGCCTTCGGTCAGCACCAGCCTACTGGATTTTCCTGCTG